ACAGATTTTGAAAACACGCCCCGAAAATACGGCAGGGCAACAGGAAAATCAGGCATCGCAGCCAGTGGAAAATCCTGCACCGTACACGCCGCGTCCCGCCCACAAAGCCCACCCCCATCCACCCTCTGAACCCCAACCTGCCTAGCCTTCAACCCCTTAGTGCAGGTCACATTCCCATAATTCTCAACCTTCACCTCGCTCCCCGTAACCACGAACCGCACCACATCCCCCGCCTTTGCAGAGAAATTCCCAAACCCCATCCCGTCCTCATCAGCAGGTGAAGACTGGTACCACACCCAAGGAGTCTGCTCCCCGCCTATGGTCCCATCCCAAAAGATATCCACCCCCGCACGGATGAACCTATTGTTGGGACAGAGAGCGGAAAACGAGTCGATGCCGATGTGGAAGGAGGCTGCGTACAGGCCTACGGTGTTGTTCGCTGTTGGGCCGGTGACGGGCATGGAGGCGTGGGGGATTGTAAAGGTGGCGGTGACGGAGGCTACTTTTCCTGAGGGGGGGGAGGGGAGATGGGCGCCGCCGAGGGTTGATTCTTCTGACTGGGAGGAGAGGATACGGGCGCCTTGGGAGGGAGGGGAGAGGGGCGGCTTGTGGAGGAGGCGGATGGGGCGGGTGTTAGTGCGGATGGGGAGGGGGATGGCGGTTGAGAGGGCCGTTGAGGCGAGGGAGAGGGTTGTGAGGAGGGTGGTGGACTTCATTTTGAGGGAAGGACAAGTATGGTGTGAGTTGTTTGGTGTGTGTTGACTGTTGGTGGGTGTAAGTGGTGAGTGATGATGCAAGTCAAACGAGTGATGATGCGCCGCCCCCTTGGAAAGTAAATAACCAAAAACTACCAACAAGAAAAACAGAAAACACAAAAGAATTTTCCGAAAGTTCAAAAAGAAAAGGAAAAAAAATACGACAGGAGAAAATCCCTTTAAACAAAACGAAAAAAGGATCTCTCGGGTGTGTGTGCCTTGCAGATCTTCCTCTTTGGTACAACAACCAGGGAGGGGTGCATGTCATGGTTCGCCCCCCCACCCCCGCC